TCCACTTTCTCAAAATCACGCATTACTTGAGTTAACTCATGCTGATTAACAGTTTTCCTCACGAACAATTTTTCATACCAATCAAGTTTGTTCGGGTTCAGTCCCTCTAACAAAATACTGACTCTCTCTTCCTCCGATAATTTCAATTCTTCAAACCACAGTATAAAACTGTCCACATAACTATCCACTGTATCATTTTCACTGAATTTTCGAGCTGACATTTCTCGCCTTATTTCTTGCGACGTGAACGAGTCATTAAAATGTTCCAAAATTTCTTTCTTATAAAAATTTTCCCAGGATTTATTTGGTTTATCTCTTACCAAATTTTGAAACCACACAACTGCATTGCCTTCCAAAGCGGCTAATACTTGACGACATGTCATATTATCATTCCAGTCATTACAAGTACGACACTGCTCGACTTGTAAGAGCCATTCACGGACTGAACCGGATTTCATTTTACCACTGTATGATTGTAATTTCATTATTTCGTTGCGATCAGAAAAATTTTTATTTACATTCTGTATCAGTTTCATTATTTCCGAAAATTCACCAGTATCTGCAGGTCCATTTACCTGCTGTGAAACATGGTCATTTCTTGACCTTCTTACCTGATTCGGACGATTTCCGTCTTCGACTGCACTATTGTGCTGTGCTGCGTTATGACCGACCTGTGTCCTTTGCTGATTTATCCGCTCAATTACTTCATCATTTTCCACTTGAAATCTTACTTCCTTGAACTGGGTCTCAATACCCGGTACTGACCGATTAGGTTGTACTCCGTACTGCTTAGGTACGTTCTCCCTTTCCACAGGTGATTCCAACTGGCCAACCGGGAGAGTTTCACCCCCGCAAACTTTACTACCACCGTTCGGGGAAAATTCACCCCCGCAAACTTGATATGCGCCGGTACTTCCATTAAATGGGGTTTTTACAGAATTTAGCTGCGAGATATTACTTACATTCATCGCTTCCAACGAATTTTTACCCGAAGAGTCTGACTGCCTGGTATTTTCAACTACCGGCGGCCGACTGAATATTGTGTTCGCTGTGCTCAATGGTCTGTCCGCTCCGAACCATTTTTCACCACCACCGTAAGTTACTTTTCCAATAACGTGGCGTTGTTTAGGCTGTTCTGACAAATTAACTATATCCTGCCGAGATTTGCGCATAAATTCCCTCAAATTCTGCATTTTCAAATCAACTTCGTTTAAACAGCTATCGCTCTGGAGACACAAAGTCTGCCAGTCTTGACTTTCTTTCAACGCCCTATCTCGGTCGCGATCCGAGTTATATCTCAACTCTTTTTCCTGGGCCAAACTCACTTTCAACTGTTCTATTTCCATCAACTGCTTTTCATTTTCGGACTCCGTTTCCAAAAACTCTTCCATTAACTTCACAAAATCAATTCTATCATGTTCGAGTTCTTTGTTACATTTTTCAAGTAACACATTACTCTTCGATACTTCTTTCACTTTTTCAAACATCAAATCATTATCCGCCCTGGATGCTATCAAATACTGGTTTGCAGTATTTAGTTCTGCATAGAGTAATTCTCTTTCTCTATTCAAACTATTCATCACAGTATTAAACTCTGCCTGAAGGGATTCTTTTTTATTATTTAACCCGCTCACTACACCATTTAATCTTATCACCTCTTGTTGCGCATTAAGCTGTTGTTGATACGAAGTAATGAAACCTTTTGAACTGCGTATTAATGTTCCTGAGTTTTCCCTTACAGCCGAACTCAAATCATACTCAGAGTGCGAGTTACGAAACCTTTGTTCGAGTTGCCTCACCTCTTGAAGGAACTCATACCGCAGTGGTTCAAAATCATTTTCGTGAACAATTTGCCACAGCAATGACTGATTTGAGACAAACTGTTCCTTCTCAACATTAATTGATAATAAATCTTCATTCACAAAACTACCGCAGTTAGTTTGACTCGAGCGTTGTGCCGGCTCGGTCTGATTATCGAGATCAATTAGGAGGCTGCTTACCGTTTCTTCCGTATTTGGAATACTGTCCCATCTCACAATACTACCACTATCAGTGAGTTTAGTGCCACTGATTGGTGCGAAAATTTTATTTCTTCCCCACGTATCTTCGATATGTTCCTGCGCGGATGTGCTGCTTCCGACTGACAATTGAGGAGTTACCACAATATTACTTACTGAATTCGGGGTATGAGCTCCTGCACTTACAACATCTGACTGCCATGTATTCCAACCATTATTTGCAATTACTGAAGACATGCCTGATTTCACCGCTTGTGGATTTACCAATAAATTTGGGTTTACCACTAACGCCGACGGAGTTACCAATTGTGGATTTACCGTTAAGTTCGGGTTTACCACATTACATGGATTTACCGCCACTGTTGACTGACCAACTACAGACTGGGTACTTTGAAAGGAGGCTCGAATTTTGTACACCCGTGAATGGACCTTTCAACCGATCTACCCACGGGGTACCTTTTTCACCAGAACTACCGCTAATTACCGGGACACCATTAAGATGCCCATCTGACATAACTGCTGTGCTCTGAGATTGCCGAACTGAATTATGTTTTGATGAAATTTTGGCCTTTACCTTTTTTCTGTACTCATCAATCCGCTGATCAGCCCAACCTTTCGCTGTCTGAAATTCAGTATCAGACATGTTACTCATCCTGTTTTTGTTTTCGTTTCAGACAACCGCAGCTATACCGTACCGTTTGAACGGGTTTGGTAAGCAAAAGTTGCTCTGTTCCAACTGGTTGATTACACAACCAGTTTGTATTACCCACCGATCGGTTACAGAAATACCGTACCACTAAGTGGATTAAGTACATCGTAACGATCCGCTTCGTATTACCGCTTTACACGCACCTTTGCGTGCAAAAGTTACTCGTATTATTTCGTTTACGCTACTGACCTTCAAGGTTTCAGAAGCTTTACTTCGTATTTCTGTGCTTCTGCTACATACCGTACCACTAAGTGGATTAAGTAAGAGCAAACTGCACAGTTCCCACTGGATGACGAATCACCCAGATTGTGTTACCCACGGGCTGACAGGACAACTGACAGAACCGTTTCGTTTGAACCCACCAGACGAAAAGCACTGCTTAACGCTGGTTTCGTATTTCGTTGTTACAGCATACACTTAAGTATGCATGTACAACTTGCTTTCGTTACGTTTCAATTTACCACAGCTGACCTTTCAGGTTTCAGCTGTTTACTGTATTTTACCGCTAGTTACACACTGTGGCTGAATTCCGCCTATCAGTGATACCGCGTTAACACAACACGAGACGGTTATATCCGCTCTGTTGATTTTACCGAAATTCGAGAATTTTCAAAATCGTAGAGTAGTGGCTTTTCCACTAACTCGAGAATTTTCAGAATCGTAGAGTAGTGGCTTTTCCACTAAGAGAATTTTCAAAATCGTGGAGTAGTGGCTTTTCCACTAACTCAGATACGAAAGTTCAATGTTTTGCAAGGCTTCGATTTAAAGAACGGCTAAATCTCTGCGAATTTTCGCACGTTTTACTTACAAATTCCACTCAGCGTTTCCTTGCTGATATTGCCGTTCGTTTCACGAGATCACAACTGACCTTTAAGGTTTCAGTTGTCCAAATCCAATCGTTGATTTATCGTAGCCAACCTTTGTGGTTTTTCGGCTACTGTACGGTTACTTTAACCAAATTTCACTGTTAAAATGATGCTGCAAATTCACACACACTGGCGGCTTGTCGGCCCACGAATACCACACAGAATAATCAAATGATAATCAGTTAAGTTTTAGAATTATTAGTACAGCTTTCGCTTCAAGGGAGGCCTATGCTGTACGGTCCCCTATAGCCACCCTGTGCCTTAAGGACACAAGTACCTTAAGGGCACACCAGATCAAATGATCAGAAAAGAAAGTGGGATTATTTCACCCGAAGAGAGAAAGATGAGAGACAGATGCCCGGGGGCTTGGGCGAGGGAAGAGATCCTCGGTCAGTTTTGTGGGATTACAATACCCTTACTCTGACCTGGACCAATTTTCGTTTTACAGTTACAAAAGAAAATACAAAATAACGTACCATCTACAATTTTCCGTAACATCGGGAAAATAAGAACCATCGGTGGGCGCCATGACGTGAATTAAAAGACCTGACACAATGAAGTGGGTGCTGTATCCACTAGTCCGACCACGTCCAGTCGGATAGAGCGACTCTGTCTCAAACTGTTACGGAAGATGGTAGAAGATTACGTTGATCTGGTATGAAGAAGGAAAGGAAAAGAAGAAGAGGTCCGGGTCCTGCAAACACGAGAAATACACACACGACGGAGAAGTATACGTTACCTGTCCGACGCTAGATGTTAGCAGAAGCGATAAGAGATATCCATCAACCTGGCGCTACAGGGCATGAAGATGATGATGAGACCGAAAGGTCAAGGCAAACAAGTGGGATCAAGTGGGTAACCTGTTACGTCACGAGACTATCCGAAGATGATAATGCACGTCGACGAAGTAGAGGAATGACCCCTGACAATAGGTGAAAGGTCACCCAGAGGTCAGTTTGAACAGCCTCACTTGGAAAGAGAAAACCAGAGCAAAAGCCTGAAGTTAATCAGATCGAGTAACAAGACTCTACTTTTGTTGGGATTACAACTCTTGACATTTGTGTGGGCGACGAGCGCCTTATATAGCCCTGGGCACCGCAAGTGCTGGCTCTTCGTACGCGCAGGTACGGGTCTGAGAACAATAGGGATCTAAACTCTAGCCAATAAGAGACATTTGAGGACACGTGGACTAATCACACCGCTGCATCACTACACGTGGACTAATGAGAACATGGGGTCGACTAATACACTAGAACAATAGGTTGAACTACGTCATCGAAGCGTGGTCACGTCGAAATGGCAAGTCGCGGTCAAAGTTCTCTGCTGGGGATTTCTGAGAAGTCGATACTCGGAGTCGCGGTCATGACTCGCGTAGGAGTTGTAGTAAAGCCTAAGCCTTAGTAGTAGGGGTAGAAGTAGTAAAGTAGTACCGATGTGTACTAAGGGACGCCAGTACACGTCACTACAACCGATTTACGTGTTCGTCATCGATGTAACAACATTCGATCTGCCGGTTTTTATTATAATTGGAGCGTATCCGTACTTATTGTGGAAAACTCTGAAGCGAAGCCGTTGTCAACCGAGTGGTTGGGCCGAACAGGGAAACCAGGCGACCGCTGTCCGGCGTTGGCTCAATAAAGAAGAACGGACTGCTTTAACGGTTTTGACTCTGTTGACGGTTACCGTGTTCATCTGTTGGTTCCCCCTAATACTCATTTTCCTGATCGAAGATTTTAGCAGTTTTAAATTCCCGGCTGAAATATTTCAGTATGCACACTGGTTGGTCGAAACCGAGACAGCGGTCGATCCAGTAATTTTGTGCATTGGCGTAAAAGATTTGCGTAGTATGATTGTGAAGCTATCAGGACGGCACCGGAAACGTCAGACCCAGATTAGTTGCTAAATTGCTCATTCTTAACACTCGCACTCGTCTATGGTTTAATTACACGGAGTTTTGTTGTGTGCCGCGCAGGCGCAGCCCATGGATTTGTCCTAATATGGTGTAGAACGGTCTGATATTCATCCAAACTGTTTTCTACACTTTGTTCTTCGTTTTTATTAAGCACGCAAGTAGAAAGAGTTACTTTTAATCTGGTAAACTGAATTTGAAAGAAGGGAGGACTTCGCAAGAAAAATTGGCAGCAAAGCCAAATCACGCTGCCACACTGGGAGGCTACCATTTGTTCACCAACCGGAAGCGGTTGGAATTCGTAGTTTTAAAGTTTTCAGGTCATTTATTTTTACTAAATGTTTGAATAAGTAAAATGCAAACCAATTTTCTGAGGAATTCAAGCTAGGTAGGAAGAAGTCAACTGCCAGTGTAACGTTCCCTGAATTTCTGAGTGATTAAATGTGCCTCTCAGGCACATGGACGAGGGCGAGTGTTAAGTGGCTCGGGACGGGCAAGAGATAATCCATCCTAACCAAATACAGGTGATTCGATTCGACATTTTGCTTCAGCCTATAACTTGAGAAGGCGTACCCTAAATTCACCGAACTTCGAAACCCGGAATGCTTCAAAGCAAGAGCGTTGCCGAGTCTGCTTTTATTCGCGGCCTCTGTAATTTTTTCTATGTATTTTCTGCAAAATCACGCGGGTTTGACCGCATAGGTGTTCCAATTCATCCTGCTGATTTCATATACCTACTGTAAGAGCTCGTGCATCGATCGTGCTAGTCTACTAGACTGAACTTCCTGTTATTATGGCTCCTGTAATGAATTTCTTAAAGCATGTTCTTATAAAGATTTCGTTGTTCGTTGTTCGTCATGACCAGTTTATGACTGATTAGTTTCTACTTGCTTCGGGATGGATAAACCTGTTAATGGCAACTTGTAATTAATTCATTTACGACGAATTTATATCTATATTTAAATGCGATGTATTATAAAGGCACCAATGTACAACATTGAGAATACAGTATAAAATGTTGAAGGAAAGCATTGTAAGTGAATTATCCGTATCACCGAGAAAATGCCCCGTCAATATCCAGCTCACATTACCTTTTTGGTGAGTATTACAACTTCTGTTTCTACCTTTTCGTTTCCGCCATAATGTCAGCCGATCTTAACGTATTCGAACTTTTACGTTGCCAGTTGAACAGATGAATCATAATACAAGGTATCTTGACGATACTTCGTACAGACAGATCGGACTTTCGAAGTGCACAACGTAAACAATCCGACTGTTACGAGACCAAAGATTGGTTTTGGGACGCAGTCTGGCAGTTCTCTAATTGCACAGCTTAGTCAGTAAACGCCATATGGTAGCTTATGAATTCCGACAGGAAAACGGATGATAAGCGTGCAGCTGGCACTGTGCCTATAACGATCGGTAATTAGTCGATTCCATTCTGAAGATCGAACCAGCGCCAGCATGTTATATACCATGGAGGTCAACCTGGCACAGATGCAAGGAAACACCAGTTTATTCTTTAACTCCTCTGCTTATTACCAAGAACACCGGCTTCCCATCAAAGTGTACATTATAATAGCGGTTGTCTCGGCCATTATCATTGGTACAGTTTGTTATAACGCCGTTATCATCTTGGCATTCGTTAAGGAACCCACCATCCGTAGCCCTTTTTCATATTACTTGCTCAACATTTCGATATGTGACTTGGGTATAGCGCTATTCAAAATGACGGGCTTTCTCTGGTTTCTGCTTTTCCCAGAAACCCCAGGGTACTGTCCGTATTACTTATTTTTGGAAAAGCTGTTTTTCATTGCAGTCGGTTATGCGTTATTGCTGATTAGCCTGGATCGTCTTTGGTCTCTCTTCTTTCCGCTGCACTACCGAATCAAACGATCCAATCGGTTAACTCTGGTTTGGTGTCTTGTAATGTGGGTGTGTCTCGTGATACTCATAACGCCGTATATCCTCTTGGATGCACTGTACTATAACACCGGTTATCACCAGTGCAGCTTGAATTACACCGCCCAACCCATTTATTCTTTGCTTGTGGAAATTGTCGGCTTTGACGTGCCGCCGTTATTTGTACTGTTCAGCTACTTCGTCATTACTGTTAAACTGTATGGCCGGGCAGAGCTAAAACGTTCCAGAGGTACAGCGTACATGATAGGGATGAATTCTCTTGTTTGTTTTTTTTATAGCTTGGACAAATTATCGAAACTAAGTAAAAATGAGCATTTACGAGAAAAACTTGAGGTATCGTAATTCACAGTCAGATAACTATTTGAATACGTATTACAAAATTTGGTTCGCAGGGCTGCGTGGAAGTGAAAATGTCACAACGTCCCGAACTACTTGTACAAACCATTTATGTCATCATCCTATGCAACGTGCAAAAGATGAATTCCGAAACAACTTCAAACAGACCTTCACTAGACAGGACGAGAGGGGCACAGTTAAACTTTTTGCTTTAATTGTTCTGTGTGTTGCAGTTTGCTTTATTCCGCAAATGGCATATTTTTTATACGCGGAAGTCGCTAATTTTTGGGATGACAACGTATACTATATTACTATGTGCTTATGTTACTCTAATAGCGTCTTTACTCCACTTATTTACCATCTAAACCTGCCCAGTATGCGACGAGCCGTAGCAAAAATGGCAATCATTCGATGAAAAAGGATGATATGCACGGCACGGAAAGCCGTTTTTACTGTGTTTTGGTGACCCTGATGAAGACTCACAGTCTGCGCGATAGTATATCAATTAGTGAAATGACCTGGGTCCAGCCAGATTTGATTTCAAAAGTATTAATACGGTAATAAGCACAAGTAGCTTTGGAAATTTGTAACGCTTAACAGCCTTAACGTCAACGTCTTGTTCGTGATGTTACAGGCGAGAGTAAATCGAGTCGCAACTGATCAGCTGGCCATCAGCTGGCCAAGTGAAAAGAGACTGGAAAGACGGCATACTGCCAATCCAGACCAAGGAAGCCAAATTAATCGTTTAATCGAAGCAGCTCGTTCGGAAATCCTCCTAACATGCAAGTCCGATTCGTGACGCCAGATTATATGGTCCCTATTCGTTTAAACTTAGGCAGCAGTCCATACTTTTGTTGATGTTAATCCTCTTAACATTCGTAATCTAAGGAAGAAAAGAGCCGACAGACCCTGGGAGCCGTGATTGGTGCCACTGGTACTGGCGACCGCGCATGAGCCTGTACTCTATATATATTGTATCTGTATAGGCTGCTTCGCTTATTCTTGTTTCTTTGATCCGCCGAGATTAGATTCAGGGTGCTCTTCCAGACCTTTCCAAACAAATAATCACGTTATTTAGATTATTTCAACATTTAAGCTGTTGCATGTCTTCTGTTTTCGTTCAGCTTAAATTGGATCATGTGAATGCATGCGCCTAAGTTACATAACAAAACGAGAAAACGAATATTGCTTTGTGTTGGTAGTTTACCTTTTGCATTGTGGTGTCATAACTGTTTCAGTAAATACAGGTATGTCGCAACTTCTACAGCGTGAATTAAGTTCGTTCCGCAAGCCTTAATGACAACAGAAAATAAGACAAAGCGTAAAGCAGTCACCAAATTTACTAGTACTGCATGCACACAAAAAGGCGTCCAAAGTACTTCAGCGAGTTGCGCTTGCGCTCTTGTTCATAGAGTTTCTTTGGGAAATTTTGCTAGAGGTATGCGTGGCTTGCGGTGAGACTCTTTTATCCCACCTGCATCGGATAAACGAGAGTGCAGTGCGTCGAATAGTGCGGTTAAAAGTCAGCAAGAGTAATGGATTGGCCACCGCGGTGGTGTATCCGAACCAGTAAGTAATCAGAAAGCCTAACTGCGAGAATGGCAAATTGTCATAGGTCAGTAGGGCGGAATAGATCAGCCATGGAAACCAGCCGATGATCAGGGCGACGACAAGTGCGCACAGCATGACAAACGCCTGCCGGTCTTTAATAATGCGGCGCTGATGGCCGGCGGGAGCGCCTGAAACGAAATGCGATGAGACTTCGGTATGACCATTACACTGTAGTGTGGATTGTGTGCCGGTAGTTAATAATAAAAGGTTAAGAGCTGTCCAGTTTGCTTTTACCGGCAAATGCTGATAAATAAAAAGCCTATTCGAGGAGTTTATTAATATCCTAAACCAAGAAACGTTTACAAACTGCAAAGCGCTTTCATCGTAGCAGTTGTGTACGTTTGTATCAGAAAGAACTCGCTTCACATAATACGCTGATAATAATGCCCACTCCCGATGCATTGCATTACAAAATTTGGCGTAATTTGCCCATTTAACGATAATTTTGTTTTTGACATTTGCTAAAGGAAAATTCCTGGGAACGATTTGCGCACGCATGGTGAACATATTCCAATGTTCACTGAATCATTGTTGGTCGCTTGTCTGGTGGGGATGCAGTAATTAAGTGCGACACACTTACTGGAATTATCCCACTATTGCTTTGCAATCGTATGAATAGTCAGCAAAGGGAAAGTGTCACTGCTTCGAATCGATCGGTAGATTCGGTACTGACACCGGGAGATAGCCTCTTACTCAGCGTACCTGCGGACGGAGCAGAGCGGAAACGAGGTAGCACGAACAGCCGGATGGACGTTGCCCCATAGCATGATAAAGTAGTGAAGACTGGAATCCATTCTGTAAAGGGCACTACGTACAGTGGTGTGGCCCAGGCCACCGGTCCGGCAAAATCCCAATAACAATCCGTCGGTCCATAGCGGTCCACACTGTTCAGGCGATCGTACATCTGCCCCGGCAAGATGCCGGCAGTAACGATGATCCAACTGGCCAAAATCACCAGCGCGGACCGTCGTGTGTTAAAATGCTGCCGGTAATGCAACGGCCAAAATGTGGCCCATAGCCGATCCACGCTGATCACGGCCATCATGCATATGGATTCATTGACCGACAGCCAATCAAAAAACAACCAAAACGTGCAGTGCTTATAACCCAGTGGCCAATAATTGTAATGCGTGTACACTGCCAGATGGGTCTGGGCGAACAAGGCGTTGGTGAGGTCACTGATGCTCAGGTTCAGGAGGAAATAGTTGAACGGATCACGTAGACGCGGCTCGATGCAGAAAGCCGAAATGACCATCAGGTTCGCGAAGAGGCTGACGAGAATGTATACGACGAAAAAAGCTGTCAACCAGTAGGACGACGGTTCGGGAATGTCCGCAGCGAAGATGGTCAGGTTAATAAAAGTCGTGTTGTTCATTATTAAGCGGCTGTTGATTGGGGTATGAAATACTAGTATGTGCACAATATGCTACGCGTTAACAGATTTCATCGCGTCTCGAATTCAAACAGCGGCAACCAGAAATGATCTACCGTGAAACCCAGATTTTATACCTAATCTGGTGGGACCTGTCAGTAGATTATAGCTGATGCAGAATATATCACATTCATCGTCACAATTCTCAAATTGCTATGAAAGGACGCTACCGCTGGGTTTCCTTTCTGGAATTATACTTAATTGTGATGAAACGCGTTCTAGCGTTTAGGTAGAAATTAATGCCTACGCGCTTATCCAGAAACCTTTTGTGCTATTATGTTGCGTGCGTCGCGGTGCGTGGTGTTCCCTTGAGAACGATTTCCCGGTGAAAATTATAGTTACGCGCATTTACAGTGTCTGGCAGCAACAGGCCCCTTCAGTTTAATTTGGACGCAACACAGTAAGGTGGTACATACTACATACTGTAGCGATAGTATTTGTACGAACGATAAGACCACCCAGTTATGATTCATTCCATCGCGTTATGAATTCTGTTCACTTTACCGGCGAGATCTCCTTCTCATGAATTTCTGGAATTCAGTCTTGTACTCAGCTTGCTACAGCTTGCACCATCAACTTGATCAACTTGCCCTAAACTCTTGCCCTAAACTTTGCTCCGTTTCTTGAACGCCGTTGTCATTAAACATGCCTTAAGTTATGTTGTTGCATTTGACCGCTTGGGATGAACCAGCGTCATCCCAATCGGAGCCATCTGTGTAATCGTGTTACATCAGTAAGAGCGGTCAGCATCGTTTCCGGCCGTGCCACCTTTCACCCTAACAGCCGCATAATCGTGGTAAAGGCTGATCGCCACCCCACTAGAACAGCAGCCAGATAGGCTGTTGTTACAATACAGCCAGCTGACTGTAAGTCTGACTTGGGATAAGCCAACAGAAATGAATTTGACTATTTTTAAGCTTTGCATAGAGAACCTACGTATTTGCCGGTGGCCTCAAAGAACGCAGCGTGAACTCTTCCAGTTCCAAAGCTCTAGTTGGAACTACTTATATACTTACTGCTCTACTCTATACGAGTACCGTTTCCAATGGTACCGATAACCCATCTTAAACAAGTGCTGTAGGTATCCAAAAACAACCACCATCTAACAGTATAATAATTATGTATTAATGGTATTTTTATGGGTGCAAAAACTGCACATTAATAATTTTGTACCCAATTGACCAATCGGCAACAAGTAACTTATGGTTTTAACGGAATTATATCAGGATTTCTGTTGTCACCTTTTCACATGAACAATACGTTTCAGACTCAGAATTTGTCAATGATTAGACCCTGGATGAGCGACACTTTTGGCTTCCGAATTCGATCAACTAGAGGAAAAATTGTACACGTGCTGCGTACTTGGTATCTGTAGGTAATTTCACGGTTTTTCCCGGTTCTGTTTTCAGTGAACTGCTTAGTATTTCACAATCATGCAGCGTCTTCCTCTAGTGAATGGAATAATAAATCATTCTGACTTGCGAGTCAAATAAGGTTCATTGTCTATTCGAACAAGCAAACGGTGGCGATTGTAATTTGAGATCTTATACACCAGTTGAAATTGTACATAAAGGTAACTTTATGCCGGCTTCAGCGGAGGCAGCAGAATTGCGCTCTGCCGATCCTATAGTATAACTTGCCACATACAAACAACACAACACTGTTTAGTGAGAAGTGTCCCCTGAACCGCAGGATCGTCATTCGAAGCATTTCTGGTAAGAAACGGATATATCTACAGAAATTTCGGACTGAAAACCGTGTAACCATGGATCTCATACTCAGCAGAAGTTTTCAATGGGCCGCAAAATACACAGTCGTGGATGGCCTGGACAGTAACACGCTCCAGGGATCCGGAATAGTATCACCTTAACGGCATGTAAGAGGAAAATTATATAAGAGAATAAGGCTTGTGTGAAACTGCAGGAGTGACTTCTCAGTCATATCTGGGAAACATGGAGGTCAACGTAACTCATGGTAATACAAGCTTGATTTTTAACTTGTCGACGCCATTTCAAGGTGACCGTCTTCCAGTAAAAATCCATGTTCTGGCCACGGTTGTATGCGCGATCATCATCGGTACAGTTTGCTATAACGCTGTCATCGTGTTAGCCTTCATCAAGGAGCCAAGCATCCGCAACCCTTTTTCCTTTTACCTCCTGAACATTTCCATCTGCGACTTGGGTTTAGCGCTATTCAAAATGCCGGGCTTTATCTGGTTCATCGTGTTCCCACAAAACACGCCCTACTGTTCGTATTATAACTTCTTTGAGAAGCTGTTTGTTATTGCTGCCGGTTATGCTTTAATGCTCATTAGTCTGGATCGTCTGTGGTCGCTCTTCTTTCCACTGCATTACAAAATCAGGCGCTCCAATCGTTTGACTCTGGGCTTGTGCTTGTCGATGTGGGTGTTTCTTGTGGCTCTTGTGGCGCCTTATATTCTCATGGATGCGCTGTACTACAGCCGCGGCAGTTTGCTGTGTACATTCAACTACGCCGCTCAGACTACTTATTCTCTGGTCATCGAAATTATAGGCTTCGATTCGGCGCCATTATTTGTGGTACTGAGTTATGTTGTTATTGCCGTAAAACTTTCCGGACGTTCCAAAACCAAGCTTTTAAAAGGTATGTACTATGATTTAGCTTCCATTTTGGTGCAAGGACACATATCATAAAGTTTATTATACCGTTATACTTAGTAACGTATTTGAAAAGTTTGCTGTTCACAATCAAAATGTTCAAAAATCAACAAGGGGTAAATTTAACAAAATCAGTATTTTGTTAAGTTTTTGTAATAAGTTACACATCAATATACTAGTACTGTAAATTAAATTTCTTAGGACTGGGGAGACCGGGAAGCGTGGCGCCGTCCCGAACTACACAACACATCACCGATCATATTACCCAGCACACTACAGGCGATATGTCTCAGGGCGAGGTCAAACAAGTCATGGCCAGACAGGACGAAAAAAGCGTTTACAAGCTTTTTGCTCTGATCGTTCTCTGCGTGGTTTTCTGCTTCCTACCACAAATGATTTATTTTCTGTATGCGGAACTCGCTGACTTCTGGAATGACAACATATACTACACCACGATGTGCTTATGCTATTTGAACTGTGTGTTCAATCCGATTATCTACCATTACAACTTGCCAAGTATGCGGCGAGCCATAAGAAAAATGATGACTCTTCGATGAACAACACTGTTGCCGAGACTGTTGCTGTTACAGTATACAGTCTTAAAGAAGAGCGACAACATAAGTTCAACGTTCGAAATCAATAATTAATATTATTTTAAATGTTCATGAAAGTTCGAATACGTATCATTTAGAGAAAACGGTGTTTGTATCACGGATTTGGCATTGTCCATATGGGTGACTGAATCTCTTGTTGTTTGCTGTTGTTACGGCACCTTTACTAACTTTTTAAAATAATCTACGATATTGTCTGTATTTAAATTCTCTCTCATTCCTTAAAAACTGCGTAGCACATGCCTCGTGAACGTTTCGGGAAAATTATTGTCTTTCAAAGCGGAGCATCGCGGATTGTAGGAGGACTCTGTATCTGTACAAGAGAATACCAATGATGAAATTTAAATCCTTTCGTTCTGCTGATCAAAACGCCCACTGGCGCGTGGTCCCTTACGCTAAACATTCACAGGTTTCATTTCCACCTGGCGGTAAAAACGCTTACCGGATTCCACAAATGGTATATTTAGCGCTGAGCACTGCAGAGTGACATGGTGGCACATACAATATGTTCCCAGCTCGATGTACGATTAGACGATTCTTGTAATACATACATTTCACCATAATATACTCAAGAAACATAATATTATTTTGATGCCGTTTCAGTTTGTAAGCTTATCCAGATTTGAAAGTGATAAGCGTTAAACAACTATTGTACCATCAACGCGTTGTAGTCTTAAGATTTTATCACTCTTGTAACATATTCCGAATGAATGATTCAATTAAAATTTTTTTTTTATCAATTTTTGAAACAGTACCATTATTTTGAGGTTGAATTTATTCAATACAAAGAGCCGATCGAAAAATGCGCAAGACTGGATTGGCACAAAGGTCAAGCATAGCTGAGACATTTAATTAAAGTTAGAGCGAATGGAAACTCAACATTTTCAGTTTCCGTCACAGCGCATTGGCATATGTTTACTATTTTTGCACATCGGTTTTGCTGTTTTTATTGCTCATCCAAACATTTACGCAGAATTCTGTAACCTTAAGTATAGTGATATCTGCCCTAGTGTGACGCAAGATGATTGCCCTAAAGATTGCCGCACTACTTTTTGGTTAATTAACTTTCGGGGTCATGTGCGGTACAGCTGGAGGGCTCCGAGCGGCAGCCAGTAGCTCGAATAGAAGAGCACATAACTGTTATTAATTTTTGCATTATTGAAACAGGAAGCCGGCAGGAAAGACATCGCTCGCAGCTGTTGAATGGTCCGGTCGGTGTATACCGTGATATGTTGAACTACATAATACCGTGATATGTTGAACTACATAATGCCGGGTGTCGATGCAGTGAAAAATATTTTAATACTCAATTAAACACTAAACGCGTAACGCAGCAATGGATTCTAATGTGACGTATGGGAATTTCAGTTTATCGCTCAATTCATCTACACATTATTCCGAACAACGCGTCCCGCTCCGAGTGTGCATTTTAGTAACTGCAGCTTGCGCCATTATCATCGGTACACTGTGTTATAATGTACTCATTATCTTGGCATTCTTAAAGGAACCAACCATTCGTAACCCGTTTTCATATTATCTCTTGAATATCTCCATATGTGATTTGGGTTTAGCCATGTTCAAAATGACGGGATTCGTCTGGTACGCCTTGTTCGCAAAAAGCAGGTCATACTGTCCGTACTACTTATTTCTGGAGAAGCTGTTCTTTAGCGCATCTGGGTATGCTCTTTTTCTGGTT